ATGACTCATCTATATGTTGTTTACAAAAGACCCACCTCACAACAAAAGACTCACATAGGTTGAAAGTGAAGGGATGGAAAAAAATCTTCCAAGCAAACGGAAAAGAAATAAAAGCTGGGGTAGCAATACTTATATCTGATAAAATAGATTTCAGAATGAAGGCCATAATTAGAGACAAAGAAGGCCACTACGTAATATTGAAAGGATTTATCCAACAGGAAGATATAACCTTGATAAACATATATGCACCCAATATAGGAGCACCAAAATATATTAAAAAACTTCTGGAGGACTTAAAAGGAGAAAATGATAGCAATACAATCATAGCAGGGGACTTCAACACTCCGCTGACATCACTGGATAGATCCTCTAGACAAAAAATTAGCAAGGAAACAGAGACTCTAAATGAAGCACTAGACCAAATGGATTTAATAGATATCTACAGAGAACTACACCCCAAAACTACAGAATTCACATTCTTCTCAAGTGCACATGGGACATTCTCAAAGATAGACCACATGTTAGGGCACAAACTAAGTCTCTACAAGTTCAAGAAGATTGAAATTATATCAAGCATCTTCTCAGATCACAATGGCATGAAACTAGAAATCAATTGCAAGAAGAACATACAAAGACATTTGAACACATGGAAGCTAAATAGTATGTTAGTAAACAATGAATGGGTCACTGAGGAGATCAAGGAAGAAATCAAAAACTTCCTGGAAACCAGTGAAAATGAAGACACAACAAAACAAAATCTATGGGATGCAGCAAAAGCAGTTCTGAGAGGGAAGTTCATAGCACTACAGGCCTACCTCAAAAAAGAAGAAAAATCTTCTCAACTTAAAGAACTAGAGAGCAAACAAAAAGAAAACCCCAGAGCTAGTAGAAGGAAGGAAATTGTAAGGATCAGAGCAGAAATAAATGACATAGAGACCAAAAAAAAAAAAAAATTCAAAGGATCAATAAAACAAAGAGCTAGTTTTTTGAAAAGATAAACAAGATTGATGGACCCTTAGCTAGACTCACCAAGAAACAAAGAGAGAGAGAACCCAAATACACAAAATCAGAAATGAAAGAGGAGAGATAACAACTGACACCACAGAAATACAAAAGATCATTAGCAACTACTCTGAACAATTATATGGCAAGAAATTCGACAATCTAAGCGAAATGGACAAATGTCTAGAAACACACAGTCTCCCAAAACTGGATCAGGAAGAGATAGAAAACTTGAACAGACCAATAACAACAGAAGAAATTGCAGATGTAATCAAGACTCTCCCAGCAAACAAAAGCCCAGGCCCGGATGGCTTCACGGGGGAGTTTTACCGAACATTCAAAGAAGAACTAATACCGATTTTCCCCAAACTATTTCAAAAAATTCAAGAAGAAGGAAGACTTCCAAACTTGTTTTATGAAGCCAGCATAATTCTAATTCCAAAACCAGAAAAAGACACAACAAAGAAAGAAAACTACAGGCCAATATCCCTGACGAACATAGATGCCAAAATCCTGAACAAAATACTAGCAAATCGGATCCAGCAATACACCAAAAAAATTATCCACCATGACCAAGTGGGATTCATCCCAGGGATGCAAGGCTGGTACAATATTTGCAAATCCATAAATGTGATACACCACATAAATAACATGAAGAATAAAAACCACATGATAATATCAATAGATGCTGAAAAAGCCTTCGACAACATCCAGCATCCATTTCTGATAAAAACGTTCAGCAGTGTGGGAATAGAGGGATCATATCTAGACTTAATAAAGGTCATATATGAAAGACCTACAGCCAACATCAAACTCAATGGGCAAAAACTAAAAACATTTCCCTTAAGAACAGGAACAAGGGAAGGATACCTACTTTCATCACTCCTATTTAACATAGTACTGGAAGTCTTAGCCACAGCAATCAGACAGGAAGAAAAAATAAAAGGGATCCAAATTGGAAAAAAGGAAGTGAAATTGTCATTATTTGCAGATGACATGATAAAACACATAAAAAACCCCAAAGACTCCATCAAAAGTTTACAAGACTTAATAAATGAATTTGGCAAAGTAGCAGGATACAAAATTAACGTCAAGAAATTGATGGCATTCTTATACACCAATGAGGAACTCACAGAAAGAGAAACTAAGCAAACAATCCCATTTACCATTGCGGCAAAAAATTTAAGATACCTAGGAATAAACTTAACCAAAGAAATAAAGGACCTATTCGCAGAAAACTACAGGTCATTGAAAAAAGAAATAGAGGAAGATATAGAAAAGTGGAACCACATACCCTGTTCATGGATTGGGAGAATTAACATCATTAAAATGTCCATATTACCCAAAGCAATCTATAGATTCAACGCAATCCCCATCAAATTACCAACGGCATACTTCACAGAATTAGAACAATTACTTCAAAAGTTCATATGGAACCAAAAAAGGCCTCGAATAGCCACAGCAATCTTGAAAAGGAAGAACAAAGTTGGAGGGATCACAATACCAGATTTCAGCTTATACTACAAAGCCACTATAATCAAAACAGCCTGGTACTGGCACAAGAACAGGTATATAGACCAGTGGAACAGACCAGAGAACCCAGAAATGGACTCAAGGCAATATGCTCAATTAATATTTGACAAAGGTGGCAAGAGCATACAGTGGAGTAAGGACAGCCTCTTTAATAAATAGTGCTGGGAAAATTGGACAGCTACTCGCAGAAAAATGAAACTAGACCATCAACTTACACCCTACACGAGAATAAACTCAAAATGGATAAAAGACTTAAATGTAACTCATGAATCCATAAAAATCCTAGAAGAGACTGTAGGCAACAAAATTTCAGACATCATACGCAGCAGAATTTTTACTGACACATCACCTAAGGCAATAGAAACAAAGGAGAAAATGAACACATGGGACTATATCAAACTCAAAAGCTTCTGCACAGCAAAAGATACAATCATCAAAACGGCAAGGCTACCCACTGTATGGGAGAGCATAATTGCCAATGATATATCAGATAAGGGGTTAATTTCCAAAACATATAGAGTGCTCATACAACTCCACAATAGGAAGACAAAGAATCCAATTAAAAAATGGGCAGAGGAACTAAATAGACACCTCTCCAAACAGGACATACAAATGGCTAAGAAACATATGAAAAAATGTTCATCATCACTAATCATCAGAGAGATGCAAATTAAAACAACAATGAGGTATCACCTCACACCTGTCAGAATGGCCCCCATCAACAAATCATCAAACAACAAGTGTTGGTGAGATGTGGAGAAAAGGGGACTATAGTGCAATGCTGGTGGGAATGCAGAATGATGCAGCCACTATGGAAAACAATATGGTGTTACCTCAAAACATTAAAAATTGAACTTCCATTTGACCCAGTGATCCCACTTCTAGGAATATACCCTAAGAAGCCTAAAACACCAATCAGAAAGAATATATGTATCCCCATGTTTGTAGCAGCACTATTTACAATAGCTAAAATCTGGAAACAGCCCAAGTGTCCATCAGTAGACGAATGAATAAAAAAGCAGTGGTACATATACACAATAAGTACTATGCAGCTGTAAGAAAGAAAGATCTCTTATCCTTTGAGATGACATGGAGGGACCTTGAAAGTATCATCCTAAGTGAAACAAGCCAAACAGAGAAAGACAAGTTTCATATGATTTCACTTATTTGTGGAATATAATGAACATAACAGTCTGAGGGATAGGGTAGTCCCAGAGACGCAGAAGTGGGGTACAGACTGACAATCCCCTAAAGAGGGGGGTGGTGGGGGAGAGATAAACCACAGAACTTATATGCATGTATGCATGAACAGTGGACATGGACAACAATCTGGGGAAAGGGCAGGGAGGGAGGGGGGGAATCAGTGGGGGAAAAAGAATAAACATCTGTAACAAAAATTAATAATAATAAAAAAAGAAAAATACTGACCTTTTGAGGGAGAACTTAACCAAATAATTCTTTAGTTTATATACAATAAATATGTATCCATGAATAAACATACAATAAAAGCTGAGAACACTGAGGAAAAAAAACAAAACAAAAAAACAAAAAACAAAAAAAAAAAGAAAATGCTATAATTTTTAATTAACCCATTCTACTTTATATTGATGTTTTGTGAATCATTTTAGTAGCTAATAATATTTTTTTCAGAAAGCTGGATTTTTTTAAAAAATGCATATTTTTAAATGTTTAATTTAGTGGATACTGTGAACATTTTTCTTTTAAGGAACAAATTTAAAACAAATAATTAAAAACCAGGCAAACCTGGAGTTGGGAGAGGTGGACCATGGCTTCAGGAACACCCCCTGTCCAGTTACATGATACATTTGAAAGCACCTTAAACTCTTTGAATTCAATTTTTTTTTATTTTTTATCCTCACCCGAGGATATTTTTCCACTTTTTGTACAGATAGAGTGGGAGGGAGAGAGAGGAAGGGAGAGAGAGAGAGAAACATCGATGTGAAGGGACACATCGAGTGGCTGCCACCCACAGGACCAACCAGGGCCGGGGACAAACTGCAACCGAAGTACGTGCCCTTAGCGGGAACCGAACCCGGGTCTCTCCGGACCGCAGGCCGACGCTCTAACCGCTGAGCCAAACCGGCCAGGGCTTGAACTCAGTTTTTAAATGTAAGATGGACTAACGTTCTCTGCAGCCAATTCTAACTCCAAAATGTTATTCTTCAGTTTCTATTCTATAACAAAAATTAATATGAATGTAGAAAGCAACAACCAGACATCCATTTTACAAACAACTTTGTACCTGCAGAGATCTTTGTTTAAAACATATCACTGGAGTTTAGAGATGAGGGTAATCCATTTTCAAAGAAGGCTCTCTTCAGTTCTTCTGTATTTCTTAACTCATAAAAGCAACAGTGTCCATAATGAAAATTAAGACATTTAAAATTACATATTCAGTCAACATCTAGCAAATCTTCACGGAATAGTAAGAATTAAGCACTTACTTTTACTTGAAGATCTTCAGAGCTTTCTGTTGACATGTACAGAGAAAGCAGAACTGGCAGGACATTTGTGACTGCGACAGCCCGGGCGTGCTCTGGCGTGTGTCTCCCAATCTGGGCCAGGGCCCAGGCAGTAGCAGCCTTAATGTGATCCTCCGGTTCTTCTGACAAGCAGACTGACAACTGGGGCACACCCTGAGCGTTGATCAAAAGAGTCATGAATCTAGAGCAGGAGTAAAGTCTTCCATATCTCTCAGACATTAGAAGAAATCGTTTTGGCCTTGATTTTTTTTTTCCTACATGGTTCAATAGGTGAGCACATCACAGGGGCTGTTATTTTTCTAGTCAATAAAATGACTAGAACTCATTTACAAATTAATTTACTAATAAATTTATTAATTTACTAATTAACAATCTGATTATTAATTAAACAATCCAATTAAACTACCTCTGGTGGCTTTTACTCCCCAAATACAGAGGCATTTAACCACACAACATAGGCAAAACCAGACTCCACTGTGACACATTTAAAATGCTTAGACTGTAGCCTGGCTGGTGTGGCTCCGTGGACTGAGTGCTGTCTCATGGACTGAGAGGTCCTACTTCCATTCCCAGTCAGGGCACATGCCCAGGTTGCAGGCTCGATCCCCAGTAGGGGGCGGGCAGGAGGAGCTGATTGATGTTTTTATCTTTCTCTCCAGAAAAAAAAAAAAAAAATCAATGAAAACATATTTTTTAAATGCTTAGATTTTAAAACCTTTTATTTTCCTTTGTTAAAAAAGTTAATTCAGAATCCTTTAAAATTGCCTTTTCACTACATATAATAGATTTGACAACAAAATAACTACTATACATTTGAAATCCAGTGAATAATGAGTGAGAAGTCTATTTAACTTTTAGATTAAATATATTCACTAAAACCTTTACTGAACTAGTAAATACATTTTCATTAATTTTTGTCAACTTTTATTTTAAATAATATTTCTTCACTGATTTTAGAGAGGGAAAGAGGAAGGGGAAGAGAAACATCAATCGGCTGCCTCCTGCACGCCCCCTACCAGGGATGAGCCTACAACCTCCCCCCACCCCCCACCCCCCGCATGTGTCTGCAGGAATCGAACCAGTGACCTTTTGGTACATAGGATGATGCTCAACCAACTGAGCCTCACAGGCCAGGTCTCGGTCAACTTGTAAATGACAGCTTTGCACATTTTAACACGATT